GGATGGATGGATGGATGGATGGATGGATGGATGGATAGATAGATAGATAGATAGATAGATAGATAGATAGATAGATAGATAGATAGATAGATAGATAGATAGATAGATAGATAGATAGATAGATAGATAGATAGATAGATATAGAGAGAGATTGTGTGGGAAACAATCTACCCAGAGCAAAAGCAAACTGTATGGCTGTGTTTGGAGTTTTAAATATGTTTTTCCCACCAGTGTTGCCATGAATTATATAACGTGTAGCTGTCAGAGCAAGGTGAAAAGAGGTGTTGTCTAATCCAGCCTGGTGAAATGAATTACTAGAAAGGCAGTGCAGTCCAAGGCAATGGCATGAATGAATGAATAACTAAATAAGTACATTGAAAAAGACGCAAATTACATTAAAACCACATCCTGAACACATTTGATATACTGTATAGTAAGTCCCTTTCAATACACCTGATTAAAAATACACATCTAGCAATGCAATGCAATATAAATGTGTGGTTATTTTTCCATGCCTTTTTTTATTTTATAACAAAATGGTTCTCATTAAGTTTTTTTTTCCCTTCCTTCCTTTGACAGAAAAGTCCTTAAGTCCCCTAGATTACCTCGAACTCTCTAATAGGTTCCCACGCCAGACCTGGGAGGAAGCAAGGCAGTTCTTCTTGAAGAAAGAGAAAAAATAAGATTTTGTGGACTCTTGGGTTTTGGGGTGTTTTTTTTTTCCAAAACAGCTCACCCTTTTGGAATGGTTTCAGCAATTTCATATTCCGTTTAAGCTGTTGAAAAGACTTTTTATACTAAAAAAATGCACATAATGTAGATAGATATTTATATAAATGTAACCTACATAATTTGCACTATTTCCATCAGAAGAATTGTATATACTTTAAAAATCCTGTTTTGTCGTTTTGAAAATAGGTTGGTTGGTTCTTCATGTGTGTATATATATATATATGTTTCCCAATGTTTTCTGGATATGTTAGACTACAACTCCCATCGGTCCCAGACAGCATGATCAGTGCCAGTATTAGTTTGGCATGATGGCATTTTTCTTTGGATGAGACCCCACAGAAGCTGGAATGGGCTACATCATGGTGCCATGGATTTATACCTGTGGTGTAGCAGCTCTGGCATTGGGTTCTGAACACAAACATTGAAAATAATTCTTCTGCAGTCCCTCCTGTAAAAGCCCGATTAACAAGAGTCACACTACAGAGGTGTGCTTTTTTTTATTTTAATTTTTTTGCTTCTGTTCATTTCCTCAAATTCTATACAGGAGGGACGGCCCATTAGAAAGAACAAACCCCAATGTCTTACAATTTGTATAGCTTGTAATAAAATAATTTATTCTGTTTTGTCGTCTGTTTTGTATAACTTTATATATATATATATACAGAAGATCCTAATGTATTCGGTTATTTAGAGAGCACAAAATCCTAAGTATAGATGATAAGCTATGGAAATATGATGCCTTCTGGAATTCTGTGTCCAATTTACTTTAAATGTTGTGGGCATGTTGCTGAAGCAAATGTATGTTCTTAGAACAGTTCTCAAAGAATTTGTAAGCAACGAGGGTTTTCACTACATTTATTAAAAGCAATATTGCAAACCGTTAAAAGTGTTGATTTTTTCCCCCCACATCCCATTAAGTGGCTGTGATACATTCGTTTAAATGTCTGGACAATTTTGTTCAAATGCTTCACCTGATACTCATGAATCACCCTCTCTCAGCCCATCCTACCTCATAGGGTGGTTGTGATGATACAGTGGGGGAAGCAGAGGCCCGTGATCACCTGTTATTCACCAAAGAGCAGGATAAACTGAAATAAAGAATGCACAAGTAAACATAAAACAAGACTAGCCAGAACCCTTAATTCTATCTATTAACCTCTTTCTTTCTCACAGACACACTACACACAGTCACCACCGTATCCTATTTATTTATTTAATGCAATTTATGTACTGCCATTCTGCATAAGACATCATTTTAATGCAACTCATGTGCTCCTCCTTCCATTTTCATACACGTATGAAACTGGTTTCAATTAAGGTGCATCAGAGAACTGTAAAACACACCGTGTTTCTTTCTTTCTTGCGTTCGATGTGACGAAAATAGTCTCGGGGGGTGGGGAATCACATCCCAAACTGCAAGATACATGTCAACATACTTTATGCGGTTGGACACATGTGTAGGGCAAGAATCTAGGAAGGGGCACCAAATGGATTCCTTTTCCTTCCAAGGAAATAGTGAGGGGGGGAAGCATCCCTAAATATTTGCCATCTAGTTCAGTGTGTTCAGTATCTGGCTTGCAAAGCCAGAGGTTGGGAGTTCGATTCCCCCCCTGTGTGCCTTTGGGAGAAGAGCCAGCCCGGGTGGCCTTGGTCAAGCTGCACCGTCCCAGGGATTCCCCCCCCCCCAGAAGAAGGGAATGCGAAGCCATTTCTGAGTGCCTAGAAAATAGTGGAAAAGGTTGCCATAAGCCCCCCCCAGAAGAAGGGAATGAGAAGCCATTTCTGAGTGCTTAGAAAATAGTGGAAAAGGTTGCCATAACTCAACCTTTTTATTATTAAATATTTACCTGGATTTGAGATTTTAACATGCTCATTAATGCCAACCCTAAATGTGCTTGATGTCAAAAGTGCTGGAAGATAATGGAAGGAGACATCGTAAGTGGGGGAGCCTACCCTGAAGGGCCGTTTCCCCACTCACTCCAACTCAGATCATAGCGGAACCCATAAAACCCCTTCAAATGCAATGGCCGTGTACAGACCGGCCGATGCAGAAATAAACCGCTCTCTACCATCATGGAAATAAATGGCTTGTGGCCCTTTTAAAAATGCACATCAACATTTCTCCTTGTCAACATTTGCAAGAACTTTGCAAGCTTGACTTGGGGCAAAAAGCTGGAAGAGTTGAATTGGACTTTGTGTCTGTTCAGCCTTCCTTGCCCAAACTCTGCTTTAGCTTACGAAGTTGGTGTGGCCGTTTGCTGGCAGCCACCAGCGCGACTAAGGGTAGTGACAGCAAATCCCTACCTTTAACTCAACTTGCAACAATTTGCCAATAACATTTACATCAACAGTGTAAAAATTCAGGAGGATTTCGGCTATAACATACAAAAAGGCATAAATAGAAACCATATTAAACCATTTTAAAGCATATTTAAAAAGATCAGTCCATCAGAACAGACACTATCATATGCTTTTACTTCAGTGATGAGGTTTCAGACGTAAGAGGCTGTTTTAAACTGAATCAGACCATTACCAGATCAAAATCAACATTATTAGTGGCTGTAGATAAACTCTGCTGGAGATCTCTGATCTTCCCAGTAAGCCTCCCATCTAAGTGCTAACCCTACTTACCTTCCGATGTGATCCCATGAACTCTGGATGGAATCAGAATAACGGGAGTCAGAAGGGGCCCCTAAGGCCATCCAGTCCAACCCCTGGCTCAAGGCAGGAATCCAAATCAAAGCAGGTCTGACAGAGTTATCCTCCATTTTCTCTTGAAGGCTTCCAGCACTGGAGCACTCCCCACCTCATCGGTTCCATCATCGTACTGCTCTAACAGTTAGGAAGTTGGTCCTGATAATTCAGCCTCAATCTGGCTTCTTGTAGCCTGGAGCCCATGATTACGTGTCCTGCACTCTGGGATGATTGAGAATAGATCCTGCCCCTCCTCTCTAGGACTGCCTTTTAAGCCTTTGAAAAAATGCTCTCCCGTCATCCTGCCCCTCCTCTCTAGGACTACCTTTTAAGCCTTTGAAAAAAATGCTCTCCCGTCTCCCCTCGGTCTTCTTTTCTCAAGGCTCAACATGGTGGAACAGACCAGATTTCCCTCCAAGGAGTCTGCCGACTCCTGCCTCCTTCCACTTTTGGCTTGACTCTTGCAATGGAAAATGGAAACAAGCACAGATATTGTCATATTTCTCTAGACATTTTTAATTTTTTTCTTTGTGTTCTCTCTTTTCAATACCATCATAGCTTCATGCTTAGGAAGTGTGAATGAACACGCTTTAGTGTGTGTTCTCACTACTGGGGGATGTTTTAGAAACCTCCCAAAAATATTAAAAAGTACCCAGTAGCTGATGGAAAGGTCTAAATAATAATTCCTGCAATAATGGACCAAGGAAGGAGTAGAGCTGCATTTAATGACAAGGAACATATAGAATCTCTCTGATCTCGTTGTACTTCTTGGGAGGCGGAGCAGAGAACCGACACACCTCACATGTTCGTTAATCTCATCCCAAGGGAAGATTCCTCATTGAACCACCTTCAGAGTGGCACTGGGCTGCTCAGAATGAAGAGGCAGCTGCCGGAAGATCTTTCTTTCCTTCCCTCCCTTTAAAAAGTGTTTCTAAAACTCTTCTTTCTTTGCAAGCAAGACTGGCAACATCTTACAGGAAATCCTAACAGACACTACAAATATTTCTGATCAAGGCCACGTTTTGCCAAAAAGACATAAATGATTAAGACAGCTGTGATTAACCTCTTCTAACTACTCCCAGCAACCGGACCAGGATTGCAATTAAATGTTTAACCGAAAGAACCCTGTGAATCGAGTTCTCTCTCTTTTTTTCTCTCTCTCTGCAAGTCTTGTTGCTTGACAGAGCGGGGAGGTGGGGGGGAAGAGATTGCACAGTTGAGCTTTAATCGAAAAAGAATTGCACAGAGTAGACAAGAAAAGCCATACAGTAGTTGGTTTGGGTTGTTATGCAGGGGCCCACTTTGCCAGAGCCCCCCCCCATGGGGTGATCACCCAAGGGTTAATTCTTAGACCTTTTCGGATCCAGTGAATTAAATTTGTAACCCACCTCCCCCAAGATTCATATCTTAATAATGGTGAGAGGAGTATGTATGTATGTATTTTCTGATCACACTACCGCTGCTTTAATTGCTTTCTCGTTTAATTTTTTTGGTAAGCTAGCCTTGACGTTTGTAGCAAAGGGCAATACAGAAATTTAGATCTTTATCTGCTATATTTATATCCCTGCCTTTCTCTCAATTCACGATCCGGCACCCGAACCACGTCACTGGGGTTATGTGCTGTCAAATGGTCTCAGACTTACGGCCGCTCTCTGAAGGACTGACTTCCAGAAAGTCTTACCATTCACTGCTCAGGTCTTGCAAAGTCAAGGCCGTGAGTTCTCTTATTGAGTCAAACCATCTCCCATTTGGGGGTCTTCCTCTTTTCCTGTCACCTTCAGCTTCTGCTGCTGCCAAGACCTTTCACAAACAACAGCGGCGTCGATCCAGCTAATGCTTGATAGTACGATACCAATGGAAGCCGTGGTAAACCCCTTTGGAATATTCTGTACCTTGAAAACCTTAGAATGAGATTTAACCACTTTATCAGATGTTGCAAGGAGGATGAACCTGGTCTTGGAGATGATGATTCTTATCTGCAAAATCCCAGGTGTGAATATTCCAAAATCCACAGCCGCAGGCAGTGCCTAATAAGGTGATTGCTTACCCATGTATTTTGAGATTTCTCCAGCCAGCCAACAGACACATCCGGCTTTTAAAAAATAAAGAGGACATGGTTTCGTTAATATTGGTCAGAAACCTACTGCTTCCGTCTGTTTCGAGTGGCTTAAGCTTGGGAGACAAATGGCCTCTCCTTACACGAGAGGCACTAGTTGCAGTCCCATGCACTGCTTGGAAATGCAGCCGGCACCTTATTAACAAGCAGCCACTTGCGGGCCAAAGGCTTCGGCCATTTCCCTTATGCAGGCTTAAGTCAGCAGCAGGATTCTGGGCCCGATACTGGCACAAAGAGCTTTCTCTTCAGATGGACTTTCCCTTGGCCACCGAAGAGGGGCCTCTAAATGGAGTCTGGTGCCCTTGTTGCTTTGACTTCGTTTTTTGTTTAGTGGAGTCTTGCCTTGATTCTTTTCAACCTTTTGTCTACGGCCTGCTTTCGGCTTTGAATGATGCTCTTTTAAGGGCGTGAGCAGCCTTGGGTCCTTTTTTTTTTAAGGAGTAAAGGCAGGGTAAACATATTTTAAATAAATAAATAACCGTTTCCCCTTCTCTCCTGGCTGTCTTTCTATGAGCGCAAAGTGGCCTCTCCGGACCCTCCTGCTGATCCGGTTCCTCACAACCACCCTGTGAGGTAGGGCAGGCTGCACAAGGCGGCACAAACCCGACCCCCGACCATCTCCAGGGAGCGTGGGGAGGCTCGGAGCCCCGCTGACCACTAGTCCACACGGCCTCTAACCTTTCAGGGCCGAGAGCTGGCCGCGCGTTTCCCTGGCTGGCAAGGCACCCCCGGACCCCGCCGGGCTGGTGGCCGGCAGCCTTCCTCCCTTCCTCCCTCCCTCCTCCTCCTCCTCCGGCCTCCCTTGCCTGG